CAGATGTCAGAGGGGAGGAGGAAGCAGGGCGGTGTCTGTCCACACGAAGGGCCGACCCCAAGTCAGCTTCTGTGGCACACTCAGTGTATGCCCCCAGCCTTCAATCTTGGGGTGTTACCGCACTCGGCCTCCGCTCTGCAGACTTCTCATGAGCGTCCACCGCCTGGACCCCGAATGCTGAGTGGGACACTGTCAACCCCTGACCACAGCCCCACGAGCACGAGAATCTGGGTCTACTTTGCTCACTCCATATCCCCAGATCCCCAGGGCCTAGACTGGCTTTTGGCACATGGCTGGCATTCGGCACATTTAGCACGAACAAATGGCGTCGCTAAACACACTGCCTGGCTCCTGGCAACTGCGTGGCAATATTTAGCCATGTTTATTATTAGTTTGGTTGCCAGACTTCTTTGAGGCTTCCTAAATAGCTTTTCTAGCACAGAGGAGTCAGTGCTACTTTGCCTTTCGGATTTCTGTCTTTGTGACAGTGGTGTTTGGACATCTACTCAATACAAGATGTTTGAACTGAGTAGAGTGGAAGACAAGTTCACACCACTGTGGAGCAGTAGTAGTGAGAGTGAGTACAATCAGCCTGACTGTTCATCCAGTCATCTATAACCTCCATCCATCCATCCATCCATCCATCCATCCATCCATCCATCCACCCATCCATCTATCCACACATTGATCCATCCATTCACTAACCCATCCATCCATCTATCCATCCATCCATCCATCCATCCATCCATCCATCCACCCATCCATCTATCCACACATTGATCCAGCCATTCACCAACCCATCCATCCATCTATCCATCCATTCATCCATCCATCCATCCATCCATCCATCCATCCACCCACCCACCCATCCACCCATCTACTCAGCCACCCATCCACTCATCCACCTATCTTTCCATTCAATTAATCTATTCACCCATCCATCCATTCATCCTTCCATCCAAAAATCTATACCCACCCATCCACTTGCCTACCCATCTAATAATACACATACCCGCCATATTGCCCCAGCCATTCAATTTATCAATCTAGCTATATACGTCCAAACATGCCACACATGCACACCAAACACACACATACATACAATGAGTTTGGGAGTGTGCTCCAGAGACCAATGATTCATTGACAAGCAAGCTAGATGCTCCCTCTCCTGCTGTTCCAGAGGTTACTTCAAGCAGAGAAGGCAAACAATCAAACACGAACTGCAGCCGGGTGCTGCGTGCCGGCACTGGGGAGCGGAGGATGGGGTGGGGGTCCTCAGCAGGGCACCACACCTAACCCAAAGGGGCGGGCGGGTTCCTAAGAGGCTGTGAGCTGCAGAGGGAGCAGGAGTCATGGGCAGAAAAAGACTCAGCTGGTGCAGTGGGCAGGAGCCAGGCCAGCCACAGCCTGCTCTGAGAGACTGTGCAGTTTAGTCACTCAGTGCCTTGGTGTTCTCATCTGCAAAATGGGGCGAGAAGCACATCAGAGCAGGATGGGATGAGTTAACAGGTTGAAAGAAGGACAACGAAGAGACTGGCTGGAGCAAAGAGGACAGAGTGGGGGGGCGGCAGTGGTGGGGGTGGGGGATTAAGGGTGCTGGGCAGCCCTGTGGGACCCTGTGCAGGGCCTTGGGACCGTGGTACCACGGAGATGTGTTTTCTCATACCCATTAAGTCTTTCTTCAAGAGTGGACTCTCAAACAGTGCTCGGGGGAGGCCTAAGGGCCCTTCCTGGTTATACTCAGTCTACCGGGCTGGACTGGAGTCTGAGGGTGAGGAATTGCTTGCGCACCCGGGTTTGGGGACCACCAGTGCCACCCCGGCAGTGAGGCTCGAGCCTGAGTCCCAGACATGCAAATCCTCATTGCTGAGCTGTGTCCCCGGCCCTCCATCTTTTTCTGTTTTCTTTCAAATCTTCGCAGAACCTAGCAGGGCTTTATGAGCACCTGTTTCCTGCTAGAAAAGTCTGCCAGAGGTCTGCAGCCATGAACCCCTCGTCACAGTCAGGACCGAAGGCTCTATTCCCTCCGCCGAGTCTTCCTGTCCCCCTAACTCCTCCCTGTGCCCCCTCCCTGACCCACTTTCTGGTGTCATAACCTCATTTGTATTTTCTGCAGCTTTAGTTGTTCGTTGCTGTTGTTTTTGGTTTTGGGGTCACACCTGGTACTGCTCAGGGGCTATTCCTAGCTGTGCTCAGGAGTGACCCCTGGTGGTGCTTGGGGGGACCGTAGGCAGCGCAGGAGCCCAAATGGGGGTTCCATCCTTCCTGCCTGGACTCTCGTACCAGCTCTCTGCAGCTTTCTTTACTTTTTAAAAATATTTAAAGTTTCTGCTTTTTGGATCACACCCAGTGATGCTCAGGGGTAACTCCTGGCTCTGCACTCAGGAATTACTCCTGGCGGAGCTTGGGGGACCCTATGGGATGCTGGGAATCGAACCCGGGTCAGCTGCGTGCAAGGCAAACGCCCTAAGCATTTGTGTCTGGTGCTTTTGCTGCAGCCCCTCTTCCTGCATTTTCCTGCCTTCGGGAGGCCCTGGGCGAAGGCCCGTGTCCCTCTGCCTCTGGGTCTTCCGGAAGCGGGTTCAAGGCAAGCAATGGGGAGGAGTGGGGGAGCACTCCGGGTGGGGAGCCAAAGATGAGGAGTGTCCAGCTTACACACACACACACACACACACACACGAGTCACGTCCAGGATCCGCACCCATGAAAAGGACCCACTCATGGCCGTGCGCCTCCTTCTTGGAGCTGCTGAGCTGGTGGGTGGGGATGCCCATGAAGACTGAGACGGGGCTGGGGGTAGGACCCTCGGTCCCGCAGAATCGGAGCCCCTGACAGTGTCCAGTGTCACCCCCAAAGCAGTAAACCAGGTGCTTGGCACAGCGAGAGGAAGTCTGCGAATAGTAGGCTGGAGGTCTGGAGTAAGTTCTCCAGGGGACTCAAGTCACCAGACGTCGGCGGCGGCAGAGAGGGGCAGGAATGGGGGGCGGGTGAGAGAGAAGCGGGGGCTTCTCCCGGTGGCCGATGACAGCCTTGCTGCTCCCCCGACACCTGCTGTGGAACCGTGACCTGTTTCCAGGCACTTGGCCCCAGTTCTCAAAGGAGGGAAATATATCAGGACAGATCAGTGCCTCCAGCCACCCTCAGGCTTTCCCGGGGCTGACCCCCACCCCCCCCGGCCCCCCACAATGGGTTTCTGAGGCTCTACAGGGTCAGCCTCCGGGACGGGTGCTTCATTAGAGGAGCAAGAGGAAGCCCATTATCACCCTGTTTTCCAGGTGAGGGAACCAGGGCACAGAGAGGCTAAGCCACTTATCCAAGGCCACACAGCTTCAGGACAGGCGGTGTCAAGGGACAGAAGTTGCTGTTGGCCCCAGAGGAGGGAACGACGTCACAAGCCACACACACACACACACACACACACACACACACACACACACACGCAGAGCCAGCAGGGGGCGCCCCAGAGACCGGAACGCAGACATGTGCCCAGTCCACTGCAAAACCATGAGGCAAGGCTGTTCCCCAGGGCCAGCTGCTGCCCACCTGGCCCGTGCAGCTGAGGGGCCCCCCGACTGTGTTTCGGGAGCAGTGGGCAGCCAGGACCTGCTGAGCCCCCCTCCCTGCGCTGTCTCCGCCCTAACCGTCATGCCCTTCTGTCTTTTCTTTGCTTTTCGGGCCCCACCCAGCGGTGCCCAGGGCTGACTCCTGGCTCTGCTCAGGGGGTCACTCCTGGTGGGGCTCGGGGCGCTGGGGATTGAGCCCAGGCCAGCCCTGTGCAAGGCAAGCGCCCTCCCCGCTGTACTCTCTCGCCGCCCCCCGTTTTATCATTTCTCTGTATCTTATTTATCTCATTTTGGGTGGGGGGGATGAACCCAGGACCCCTGACGGGTGAGGTCTGGGCTCTTACGAAGCCCCCACTTTAGCCTCTTTCTGCCATTTTATTTTTATTTTATTTTTGCTTTGTTTGGTCACACCCAGCGATGCTCAGGGCTTATTCCTGGCTCTGCACACAGGAATTATACCTGGCGGTGCTTGGGGGGCCTTATGGGATGCTGGGGATCGAACCCGGATCGGCCACGTGCAAGGCAAATGCTTCAGCCCTTCTGCCATTTTAGACTTCCTGGCATTGTTGGGGCACAGAGCTGGCTGCTGCTCTGTGTGTGTGTGTGTGTGTGTGTGTGTGTGTGTGTGTGTGTGTGTGTGTGTAGGCATCTAGGCCTCCCCCCTTGAGAGGTCTGTGGTGGGTGGGCAGCTTGTGGGGACAGACACAGAATAAGCCCCGTGCAGATCCCTGACCCCAACACTGATCTCAGTAGCCCGGGGACAAAGCAGGAGGCCGCGGGAAGGGTTTTCCTGCACACCCGGCCCAGAGCTTTGCCAGCTGCGCCTCTCGGTCACCAGGCCATTGGTGAACTCTTCTAGGATGTCTGGCCTGCCAGCCAGCCTCCACACAAGGCCCCCACCTCGCCTGCTTGCAGAAGGACTGGCAAGAATTAGATCACCAAGACGAGGCCTTTTCCCAGCCCGACTCTGTCCCGAGTCACAGCCCTGATGTGGGTCTCCCCCTAAAGGGCCCCGCTGAAGTGGGCACTGCCAACGCTCCCCCGCCTGTGTTGGGCCCAGAGTCTGCTCCTTCTCTGCCTGGGTGCCCCCGACAGGACATGCCACGGAGAATCCGACCCTGGGCCCACGACCCTCCCGTCTCCCTCCTAAGGGAGCGGGAAGCAGGTCCCAGGGCCTGACCAAGTCCCCTGAGACGAGATTGGGATGGAATTGGCGTCAAGGGCGGCTTTGAACAATGAAACTTCCAAAATGCATCGGACCAGGACTGGTCCCCAGTGCAGAGGTGGCAGGATGACAGGGCTTCCTGGGATGACAGGCAGTGGGGGTCGGGTGTCCTAGCTCCGTGCGTTTATTTCAGCTTTGCCCACACCCCTTGCCCAGATGGCAGCCAGAGCGCCCGGTGACTGGGTGGCCTGGTGGTCACTGCCAGCGCCTACCTTGGACTTGACGGCCAGGATGATCTTGGGCAGGGCCACGACGAGGCACTTGAGGCCGATGGTGATGTACTTCAGCACGAAGTCAGCGATGCCCACGATCCACAGCAGGTCAAAGAAGTCCAGCGTGTCCAGGTTGGGCTTCAGGAATATGAGGCTGAGGGGGAAGGGTCCCGAGTCAGGAGACCCGGCTCTGCCCGAGTCTGCCACTAACTTGCTGTGTGACCTCAGGTGTGTGTCTGAACCTCTCAGAGCCTGAACTGCCATTGACTGAACCATGAGACTGGCTTGGGATAGTATTTAAGATATCCTCTTGGGCTGGAGTTATAGTACAGCGAGGAAGGTATTTGCCTTGCAACGCGGCCGACCCGGGTTCGATTCCCAGCATCCCATAGGGTCCCCCAAGCACCGCCAGGAGTAATTCCTGAGTGCAGAGCCAGGAGGAATCCCTGAGCATCGCCGGGTGTGATCCAAAAAGCAAAAACAAAACAAAACAAAAAAAAACCCTCATTTTGGAGGGGCCAATCACAGGCTTCACAAGAGGAAGAAATGGGGGAGAGGAGCAGAACAGGGAGGAGGGACTTTGGTATGACGGACTCAAGACGTCTGTCCACCTGTCTGTGCAGAGGTGTGTCCCCACGTCCTGCCTCTCTCCTCTCTCCCCATGGCCCCAGGACTGTGCAGCCCACCACCCCCTCGCTGCAGAGCCCCCGTCGGCCATGTGCTGTTCAGGGCCCGGCTCCGGACATTTGCAGCATCTTCGCAGCTGCTCCTGCTTTTGCCTTTGGAGGAGTCGCTGCTGTGGACACAGAGGTGGCCGCAGCACAGCCTCGGGGTTCCGCACGGGGTGGTGGGGGGAGGAAAGAGCCACCAGCCCCGTGGGCCAGCAGGCGCCCAGGCCCCGCCTAAATTAGCCTTCCGAACAGGGGGCCAGATCTCAGCTCACCAGGGGAGAAGAGAGGAGACCCCCGAAGTTGGGAACTGGCAGGACAGTGACCTCGGTTATGGGCACTCAGGGAGGATGCGGGCAAGGTCCGGCTTCCTCTCTCGCGGCTTCGAGGCATCAGAAGCCCCGTGAGCCCCGGCTTGGGCCCCTGGGAACGCAGACGGCACAGCCAGCAAGGTGTGTCGGGGGCACGGGCAGATAGCAGCTGCCGGGGTTGAGGGGCACTCGCAACGCCGCCCTGCCGCGCAGACGAAGCTTGGCCCCAGCCTTCCTCCAGTTTACTGCGAGGGTGTCTGACTCAGCCCGGGATCACTGGGGGCACAGAGGTCCAGGCGGAACAAGACAGTGCCCAGAGAGTGGCAGATGCCAGGAACCCAGCCCTGGTTCTGGGAAGCGTCTCCCCCCCGCCCCCACCCCAGACGTGCTGGGCCAGCCGACTAAGGCTGTGTGCTGGGCACCAGGCTGGGGTGTGCCCTCACAGAAGGGGCCGTGTCCAGGACCACCGGCCCGTGGCATCTGCTCACCTGTAGTACAGCTGCTGGGAGCTGAATGTGTAGAGCACATACAGGGTGTTGCCCGCCAGGAAGACCAGGATCCACAGGGTCACCAGCACCGACCTCTTCTCCTGCCAAAGAAGCGAGACATTGGTGAGGAGGGCTGCCCTGCCCCAGGGGTGCGTGGCGGAACATTCCAGAAGGCTTCTCTTCAGTTTGGAGGCAGCAGGGTGAACAGTGAGAGAAGGGGGCTGGCCCTCCCACTGGAACCCGAGGCACAGCCGGAGGGAAGGGGACAAAGACCTGGCTCAGGAGGGCAGAGCAGGGCAGATTCTGCAGCCTGAGGGCTGGCTGGGGGGCAGATGGGGGGTGGGAGATGCCGAGTCTGCTCCCCTGTCTGAGCTGGGCGGACTGATTCCAGCAATGCTGCCCCCTGCAACATGGGCCCGGGCTGTGCCCCTCACAGAGTGGGGAGGTGCTCTGAAGGGCGGGGACAGGGCTGAGCACTGTCGGAAGGATGGAGGGTGCAGAGGGTGGAAGGGCTTGTGCTCAAAGGCGTGTGTGTGTGTGTGTGTGTGTGTGTGTGTGTGTGTGTGTGTGGTGCCAGGTATCAAACCCAGCGTCTCATACCTGCAGAGCACGTGCTCTACTGCTGGGTCAACATTCCACCCGCAAAGCACAGATTTCATTTAGATTTTGGTCCTGCGGGCACACCTGGCAGTGCTCAGGGCTGACTCCTGGCTCTGTGCTCAGGCATCACTTCTGGTGGGGCTCAGGGGACCAGATGGGGTGCTGGGCTGGCTGGAACCTGGGCTGGTCACATGCAAGGCAAGTGTCCTATCTGCTGTACAATCTCTCTCCAACCCCTAAAGGGCACATTTTACTAACTTACGTTTTGTTCCTTTTCTTTGATTCTTTTCCCCCTTTTTATGGATCCACCGTGAGATACAGTTACAAAGTTTTCATGTTTGAGCTTCGATCATACAATCATCAAACACCCAGCCCATCACCAGTGCACATTTTCCACCGCCAATCAAAATTATAGTAGGTAATATAATGTTATAGATAATATATAGTAAATATAAAATAATGACTACAATTGGAATTATAGCATATAATGTGATTGATGATATAAAATTGTGTGAAATAATGACTACAATTGAAATTATATAACATTATAGACAATATAATAATATAAAATAATATAGCTACAATTGAAATGATAGTATACGACATAACATTATAGATGATGCAGTATAAAATAACATGGCTACAATGGATAGAAAATGCAGTCTATAGCACAATAATCTAGATAAAATATAAAATGCCATGGCAGTAATTCCAATGCACGTGGACTGACTGGTCTTCACCTGGTCTCTCCCAGGGGTCTCAGCCATGCTGTGCCCCAGTCCAGCGCTACCTGCTGCTCCAGCCTCTCAGGTCAGGTGCGACCAGGACAGTCATTTCTGGGGGGCGGTATCCGCCCAGTATCCGCCTGCCCCCCCACCCCCATTTCACACCTTTCCCTGCCTGTGTGGCAGACAATCTGCACAATACTCTCTCTCCACTTTGGTTACATTTGTTACCTGATATCAGTCCCACCACCACTCATACCTGCTGAAAAGGCAATGCTTGACAATTTGTTTTGTATTGCTTGTTATGGATAAAACATAATGTCATGTGGCTGCTCTTATAGTCGTGCACTCTAGGAATTCTAAAATTTTAATAATTAGGGTCTCGAGAGATCTCTGCAGCAAGTTGCGTGGGTCCAAGATTCGTTTGTGTGTCTCTGGATCATGGCCATGTGGGAGCTTAAGTAGAGGGTGGCCGCATGTGGGCGTCATCTCAGAGTCCCATCAGGGCGGGAGGAAGGAGAAGGGCCGAATCCTCCCCTGTCCTGGGAGACCTGACATTTGCTGTCACCGCCACCACGAAAGCTCAATCCAGAGCTTTCTCTGTATTCTAGAAGATGGTGGCCACCAGGATTCCTCAGGGGCAGGTGGAGGGACAGCACCTGCTCCTGTCTGGAGTGGCCGGCGAAAGTGGCCCACTACAAAGTCCAGAGCCATCTCTGCAGCAAGTTGCTCTGGTCTGAGATTCTGTGTGTCTTGTTCCTTTTCCTTGTGGGGTCATACTCACGGGTCACTCCTGGCTCTGCATTCAGGGATCACTCCTGGGGTGGGGGGGGGGGGCTCGAGGGATCATATGAGGTGGCAGGAACTGACCCTGGGTTGGCCGCATCCAGGGAAAGCGCCCTCACTGCTATACTGTCTGTCTTGCCCCTAAAGAGCACGTGAAACCTCAGTGCCGTGTGTGTGTGTGTGTGTGTGTGTGTGTGTGTGTGTGTGTGCATGCACACGCCCGCGTGCACAGGATGTGAGGTGGGGTTGGACGAGGGCAGGGCAGTGCTGGGGGGATATACACAGTACCGAGATTGAACTGGGTTCAGGTGGTATAAGGCGAACGCCTCACTTCTGTCTCACCAGGCCTCCATGTCAGCATCGGACACTTGGAGTTGAGTTTTTATTATTATTTTTTTATGGTGCCAGGGATTGAGCCCTGGGGCCTCACCCATGTAAGGAAGAGATTTTATATGCCTGATCGGGCCCTGATTTCAAGTGTGTGTGTGTGTGTGTGTGTGTGTGTGTGTGTGTGTGTGACAGGGGGAGGGGGCTGGTTTTCTTGCTTCCTCCTTTTCTGTCTTCCTTTTTTTCTTTTAGGTTTTACATCCAGCAGTGCTCAGGAGTTACTCCTGGCTCTGCACTCAGAAACAACTCCTGGTGGTGCTCAGGGGACCAAAGGGGATGCCATTGGTCGAACCCCGGTCAGTTGCATGCAAGGCAAGCACCCTACCTACTGTAATATCCCTTTGGCCCCTAAAGTGAGGGTTTTGTTAAGAATTAAGCAGAGTGTCCAAGGTGAACACGCAAGTCTGGTGACTAGATTGGCTCTGACTTCAGCTCAATCATGACCTTCGGGCTCGATGGCCTAGCAGAGGGTCCCAGTCTGCATCCAGGGCTATTCCAGCATTCCTGAGCATGGCAACCCCCTCAGCCTCTGCCCTGGGCTGACTATGCCACACCAGCCATGTGTGTGGATGGAGTTCCAACGCCTCCACCTGGGTGTCAAGCTCTGGTGCTGTTTCTCTTTCTCCTGCCCTGATTTTCTTTGGTCGCCCAGAAATCAGGCTGGAAAAGTCCTTGACTTGAGTCTCCCAGGGGCTTCCAGAAGGAACAGCCCAGGAATCGTCTGGAGGTGGTGCAGCGCCGGGAGTGCTCGGGCCTGACAGCCTGGGAGCCCTTGGGCTGGTTCCCTAAAGCTCTTGGTCTCTTCCTGGCGCAGGGGCGGCTGCTTTGCTGGAACAGGATGAGGTCATAGCTCGCCCAGGGTAACCTTCCCTCCGGTTTCGGGAAATGCGCTACTGTCTCCCGCTGCAGTTGCAATGCGTGTGGAGCAGACAAAACAAATGCATCTCCGTCCACCCATTACTCCAGGAGCGGTCAAGGTTAACGGCCCTCGGAGCCACCTCGAACCAACCAGTGCTCCAATCAATGTGATTAATCCGCTTGGCAGCCCTTTTTACCCCGTAAATAATAGATTCTGGTTCAACTCTCTCTAAATCCAAACCGAAGATGGAAGGGAAAGAGGGAATTAGCAACGCTTTATGAAGCCTGACTTGTTTTTTTGGGTGGGGAGGGCAGTTTGGGTCACACCTGCTGGTGCACAAGGGGCATTCCTGGCTCTGTGCTCAGGAGTCACTCCTGGTGGCCATCAGCAGTGCTGGGATATAATCTGTGAACAAGGCAAATGCCGTAATCCCCGGATTATCTCTCTGGCCCTTAAGAAACCAGACTTTGAAGGACAAAGTGGTTCTCGAGTACTAAGTTAGGATCCCAAATTCTCCAAGGCCAGAGCAGACTGGATCCCTGGAAGAAGAGCCAGCAGAGAGCAAACCACCACCGTAGTCTGCACAGGTATCTCGGACTCCTGGAGTCTTCTCCAGAACCTGGACTTCTCGACATCACCAGGGTGGAGGGGAGGGAGGCACTGCATCTGGGAGCAAGCCAGCCCCCAGGGCTCCCGCTGCTGTTCTAACAACGGTGCAAAGAAGTAAAATGGAGGGTCCAGAAGGATCCCTGGCTCCGGGTCCGACTCTCACCCTGCCACGACGTGGAGAGACTGGGAAGCCCTCATGGCCTCATGGAGGCCCAGGGCTTTGGAGCAAGTGTCAGAGAAAGGATGGGTGGGAGAGAGGACTTAGGTGATAATTCACAGAACTGGAACACAAGTCCCTCGTGCATGAGCCCCGGGTCCAACCCCCAGGCCCTCTGCATCTTTGCCCCCCGGTTCCCAGCAGGTCTGAGCCCTAAACTGTCCAGCGTCAATGGCTGACGCCTGCTGGGAGGTACCCCCGCCCCCCAGACTCTCAGGCACGGCTTGCAGGGCCTCCCCTCCAGAAAAAAAGGAAAAGCAGAGATTTATTAACAGCTCAGGGGCCCGGAGTAATACGGTGAGGAAGGCACTTCCCTTGCATGTGGCCAATTCCAGTTTGATCCCAAGCATCCCACAGGGTCCCCCGAGTGCTGCCAGGAGTCGGCCCTGAGCACGGGTGTGACCCCCAAAGCAAAATAAACTCAGGGGCCAGAAGACAGCACAGGAATTAGGGCAGTGCCTGACATTCACCTCCCAGTTCTGATTCCCAAGAACCATGTGGTCCTCTGAGCACTGCCATGGGGACCCAGGGATTCCTGGCACCACAGAACCCAAGGAGCAGCACATCCTCGGGCCCTTGCAGAGAACCGAAGGTCCATTCGCTGAGAATTGCCAGAAGGGCCCCTCAGCCATTGAGCACTGTTTGGGAGCCCCCCAGATAAGTAAGAATAAACAAGAAAAGCTCAGACAAGGCAGGTTTCTGACAGGCCAGGAAGGTGCCCTATGCCTGCCCCACACAGTGGCACAACCAACAGTCACCATCTCCGAGAAGGGACAAAGCAGGAAGGAGTTTTTTATTTTGCTGTTGTTGGTTTGGTTTGGGGGGCCACACCCAGCAATGCTCAGGAATTACCCCTGGCGGTGCCTGGGAGACCATATGGGATGCCAGGAAGCGAGCCCGGGCTGGTCATGTACAAGGCAAGTGCCCTAGCCATTGTGCTCTCTCTGGTCCCAGGGAAGGAGGGGGACTTCTGCAGGTACGTGCGGAGGACCTGGAGGACAGGGACCTGGGTCGCCTGGGGGCCACAGGCTCAAGGCCAGGGCTCATGTCCTAGTGGCACTATTGGCAGCTGGGGTTGTACGACCTCCGACAGGACTTGGCATCTCTGAGCCATGGTGTCATCCTCTGTGGGAAAACGAGGGCTGGGGGATGCGGGTGGTTCTTCCGGCTGGGTGAATCCGGATGTGTGCTCTACAGCGGACTCAGCTCTGACAGGACATTCAGGGCGAGGCTGGTGAGGGTGAAATGAAACGCCAGGCGAGAGGGGACCGGATTGGGAGCAGTGGAGAGAGGTAGGAGGGGTCTGGGAGGAGGGGGGAGCTTCTGAGATCTGCCCTGGGAGGCAGCAAAGGACCTGAAAGACATCCCTTGGAACTCTGCAGCTCTGGAGGGCTGGGGGCACTCATCAGTGGGCTGCACCAGGCAGAGGAACTTGGATTAGCTCTCTGAGCCCCCCGTTATCATCAGGGTCCCCAGTGGGAGGGGTCAGAGGAGAAGAGTCCAAAGGTCCCGGGGAGGACAGAACAGGGATGAATGTCGTGGAATTGGAGAAGGGGGAGGGGAGCAGAAGCACGCGGATGAGCCCCAGAACCCGGCAAGGGCGCACAGGAGAGGCTCCTGGACCCCCGTAGGAAAGTGGGGCCCCCAGATGGTGCCCCCAGATGCCTTGCACGGGACAGCCCGGGTGAGTGCCCAGCACCACACACTCCCCTGACCCCACCAGCTGTGACCCCGACACTGGGTCAAGCAACCACCAAGGAGCAGGCGCTCCGCCAGGCCCCGCTTGGTGTGCCCGCAGGACTGAGCCACTGGGATCAGGTGGGCAATGCTGCAGGCCCCTCTGTTTGGGGGTCCCTCGTGCAGAAGTGAGACTCACCTTCAAGGACACCTGCTCTCGGAGCGTGGAGTTGGCGTAGGCAAAGGTGCTGGCCATCCCGATGCACACGGCGATGCCTGCGGGAAGAGGGGACGCCCACTGCTAGGCCCTCACGGCAGAGACAGGGAACCCCCTTCTGGGGAATCTGAGCTGCATGCACATAGCCAGATCCTGAGCTGATCTGCGCATGAGTTTCTCACTCAGGGTTGGGACAGAGGACACTGCCAGCTCCCTTACAAAAGCAGGAAAGGTTAGGGGGGTTGTTTTCTGGGGAAAGGCTCCCACGCAATGCTCAGGGATCCCAGAGTGCACTTCCGGCAACTCTCGGCCAGTGGTTCAAGTGAGGTGGTGCTTGGCTCAGTGGTGTTGGGGCCTTCAGGAACATCCTAGCAATGTTCAAGGCCTCCAGGCTACGTCTGGTGATGCCCGGGGGTTTCCAGGATACACCTGGAGGTGCCTGGGGGCCTCTAGAATATACCTGGCGATGCTCAGAGCCTCCAGAATATACCTGGTGATGCTTGAGGACTTCTAGGACATGTCTGGTGATGCCGGGGGCCACAGGCTGCACCTGGGGGTGCTCAGGGTCCTCCAGGATACACCTGGAGATTCTCAGGGGCCGCTGGGATATACCTGGAGGTGCGCAGGGCCTCCAGGATATTCCAGTGATACTTGGCCTCCAGGATACACTTGGCAATGTGCGTGGGGTCTCCAGAATATACCTGGCGATGTTCGGGGGCCACCAGGATACAACTGGCTATGCCAGGGGACCCCCAGGAAGCACCTAGCAATACTTGTGGGGGCTCCAGGATACACCTGGTGATGCTTGCAGATCTCTGGGATACGTTTTCTAAGAATGGGGGCCACCAGACTGCACCTGGGGGTGTTCTGGGGCCTCCAAGATACACCTGGAGGTGCTCAGGCGGCACTGGATGCCTCACCTAGGTTTGATCTCCCACCCTGGCATCCAGTGGTCTCCCTATAGTACCCAATGCCCTCACTCTGGACGACCTCCCGGCCCCAGGCCTGGGTTCTGCTTCCCTCTGTGGGACATCGGGGTGGTCACTGACCTCTCTGGACCTCAGGTCCCTCCCGGGGTCACCCCTTGCTCCCCCTCTGCCCACCCCCACTGCCCGCCCGCTCACCAAGCTTGTGCTGGAAGCAGAGTTTGGCCAGCAGGATGAGGATGAAGGGCAGCCCCTTCTGCAGCCAGCAGATGACCGCCTTCAGCTCGGACAGCGCCGGTGCCGGCGTCCCCGGCTGCTCATCGCCGCCCTCCTCGGGGTGCCCGCGGTGGTCCCCGCCCACGTGCTGCAGCAGGGAACTCCCGCGGTGGCCCCCGTGGTGGAAGTGGTGGTGGGGCTGGCGGGCGTGGTAGGCGCCCCCCTCGCCGCGGCCGCCGCCCTCCTCCCTGGATGCGGGCATCTGGAGGAACACGTCCCCGCCGCCGGCCGAGGAGCCCAGCACCAGGCTGGACGGGAAGGGCGTGGCGGGCAGCCCCGAGAAGAGTGTCGTGGGGGTGGTCGCTTCGGCCTTCAGACTCTCAAAGACGCCCGCGGCATCCACACTGGCCTCGGAGCTGAGCGCCTGGCTGCGGCTTCTGGGCAGGTGAGAGGACAAGGCCCCTGTCAGAGGGGCGGGGGGGGGGGGGGGTCCTGACCTGTGACAATCATCTTTACAATCATCTTTGTGGGGGTGACCAGGCAGCCAGAGGCTGGGCCCCAGCGCAATCTGGTCCATCTAGGAGATCTGGAGACATGGACACCACATACACACACACACACACACACACACACACACACACACATACACTCGCAGTCTGGGTCTAGGAGATCTGGAGACATGGACACAGCGTACACTCACACTCGCAGTCTGGGTCCATCTAGGAGATCTGGAAACATGGACACTGCGTACACACACACACACACACACACACACACTCGCAGTCTGGGTCCATCTAGGAGATCTGGAAACATGGACACAGCACACACACACACACACACACACTCTCACAGTCTGGGTCCATCTAGGAGATCTGGAGACATGGACACCGCGCGCACACACACACACACACACACACACACACACACACTCACAGTCTGGGTCCATCTAGGAGATCTGGAGACATGGACACCGCATATACACATACACACACACACACACACACACACACACACACACACACACACACAGCAGAGGACCTGAGGTCAGGGGGGCCAGGGGAAACCTGTCCTGCCAAGCAGGCGCTGGAGGGAGGCCGGCGGGCCCAGGGACCCGGCTTTCACCCCTGACCCTGGATGTACTAATACCTGCTCAGGAGCCCGGGGTGCTTTGCTAAAGCATGCTCTATGATTTATTCCACTCCCACTCTCGACCCTACCCCTCAGTCTCAGACAATCCCTGTGTTGGACGTTACTATTCCCTCTGCAGACTCAGAGGACACGCCTGCAGGCGGGACTGCCCTGGCCAGTGTCTCCATGTATCCCTTCCTCCTTCCCCGGGGCCCCTGCCTGCACCCCCAGCTCCTCCTCTGCACCTCTGTACACATCAGCCAAGATCCAACTGCCTGGAGGCGCCCTCAGCTCCCTGAACCGGATGGACAATCTTTGCCCTTTTCCAGCCACTCCTTCCTCAGACTGGGGCTCCCTGCCTCACATTTACCATTTCTTCCTGGCACTTTGGGAGTCAGTGCCTGGAAACCACAGCTGACCAACTGAACCCAGACCTCTGGGGGGTGCCCTGGGCTCTCTGGTTCCTCGGAGCCTCCCCCTCCCTAGCCCATCTGAGCACAGACCCCGAGAGCGCTCAGGGATACTATGCAGCTGTCAGGAGAGATGAAGTCATGAACTTTGCTTATAAATGGACAGACATGGAGAGTATCATGCTAAGTGAAATGAGTCCGAAAGAGAGGGACAGACATAGAAGGACTGCACTCATTTGTGGGGTATAAAACAACATAACATGAGGCTGACACCTAAGGGTAGTCGATACACGGGACAGATAGATTGCTCCATAGCTGGAAGCCTGCCTCATGAGCAAAGGGGAGAAGGCAGCTGGAATAGAGAAGGGATCGCTAAGAAAAAGATGGCTGGAGGAACCGGTCGGGATGGGAGATGTGTGCAGAAAGTAGATAAAGGACCAAACATAACTTCTCAGGGTCTGTATTGAAAACCATAATGCCCAAAAGTAGAGAGAGAGTATGGGGAATATTGTCTGCCATGGAGGCAGGGGGAGGGTGGGAAACGGGGGATGGGCATACCAGGGACATTGGTGGTGGGGAATTTGCACTGGTGAAGGGATGGGAGTTTGATCACTGTGTGACTGTAATCCAAATGTGAAAGCTTATAATTATCTCTCATCTCACGGTGATTCAATAAAATTAAAAAAAAAAAGAGCGCTCAGGGAGCTTGTGTACAGGCTTTGCATATAGGGAGGGTAGCCCTGGTTGGATTCCCCCGCCTGCCCACCACCACACACACACCACTGGAAGTGACTCACAAGCACAGACTTTAGGAATAGTCCCAAAGCACTGCCAGGTGACGCCCTACATCAAGAGCAAAGTGCTACCCCTTGTTTTCATCACTGCCACTACTATATTATTATTAATTCATTCTGCCCAGGGGACTCCAGCCATCCTCTACCCCCTGTGCCAGCTGGGGCAATGCTTGGGCCTGATCTGGTATGTTTCGGTGCTCTGGGACCACCCCAGCAATGTTTAGGGGTGCTGGGGATTGACCTCAGAGTCTTGCAAGCACTCCAGACCTGCATGGGCATTTAAACAGTGTCTTCTTACTCGTTTGTATAAAATCCACTAACTATAGGGCCCAAACAGTTTTGCCTCTTACCTGGGACCCACCCCACCTCCTTAACCCCTCCTTGAGCTCACTACCACCCTGCCACTCCCCCCTCCCCCAGTCACCCAGAGCTCGGTCCATCCCATGAGAGCTCACTCAGGAGCCTGGCACCGCCTTTATTTTTTAATTTATTCACGATCACCATCATCCTGTTGTTCGTTGATTGCCTCGAGCAGGCACCAGTAACATCTCCTTCGCCCTAGCCCTGAGATTTTAAAAAGGGCCATATTCAAGGCTCTTTCAGGGTTAGGAGAATGAGACCCATCACTGTTACTGGTATTTGGCACATTGGGTGCACCACGGGGAGTTTGCCAGACTCTGCCGTGTGGGCAGGTTACATTTGGTAGCCTGCCAGGTTGTCCAAAGTAAGAATGAGATAATAAGATGTCGCTTCCGGGAACTGGGTTTTATAGTCTCTGGGTCTTGGCCGTTGATGGGATTACACGGCGCCGGGGGAGGGGGGGGCAGTTGGTGGGTGTGACCCCGGCCTACTGGAAGATGGAGGATCTGGGTGGAGGATGCTCAGCCCCAATCCGAGCAGGCTTGGAAATCTCAGCCCCGGGACCCGCATGCCTTTGTTCCTCTGCCGGTACCTTCATGCGTGTGGAGAGTGGTCTCAGCATGGTGGTGGCTGGTTCTGGAGTTCTTCAGCTGCTGGGCTCTGCTGGGGGGGGGGGTTGGGAAACTCAACCCGCCCCCCTCCAAGGGTCCCCAGCAAGGACAGCCAGGTGCGGCTAATTTTTTATTATTATTATTATTATTATTATTATTATTATTTCTTTTTGGGTCACACCCGGTGATGCACAGGGCTTACTCTAGCTCTGCACTCAGAAATTACTCCTGGCGGTACTTGGGGGGCCATATGGGATGTTGGGAATTGAACCCTGGCTGGCCACATGCAAGGCAAATGCCCTACCTGCTGTATTATCGCTCCAGTCCCTTGGCACCACCTTTATCCGAATCAGCCCCATGGTCACCACATTGTTGTGACTTGCTTTGTGCAGAAAACCCAATAATATCAGTAATCTATAGATTGCCACACTCCTTTCTGCTCCTGATTCCCCTGCATCTCCCTCCCAGCCCTGCAGGATTTGGTGAGCCCCCTCTTCTGGGACATATGGGGAAAATAAGTCTTTTGATGGCCTTGGCCCTCACATGGTGGCCCTGTCCACCTCCATACTGTGGAATCTGGTGGGTGCAGTCTCTGGCAGATGGGACCCAGGGGCTCCTGGTCCACATGGGCTTGGAGAATTACCGGAGAGAACAGCATGGCATCACATGGAGACTGTGGCTGTGCAAAGCTGCCTGCTACCTGATCACCTTTCTCCCTCAGAGAGAGCCAGTTGGGGGGGGGGCTCCGAGCACCCCCAGAGTCCTCAGTGGGCAGGAATGAGGGGTCACCTACCTTTCAGGTGGCACGTTATCTGTGTTGCTACTGTGGCGTCTCTGCATTTTCCTGAGGACCTGAAAGTCAACACAGGGTGTGAGTGGGAGTCCCCGACATCCCCTTAGTGCTGACCAGACATGGTGCCGTGGAAACTGCAAAAGATACCACCCATCTCTGGCATCCCCAGGGAACTGTGGACATTCCTCCAAGCCAGGATCTGGGTCTTTTAAGCCGTTTAACTCCCCAATGCCACAACCCATGCCAGGAAGAAAGAGCGTTTGCCCCATTCCACAGAGGAGAATGCTGAGCGTGTGAGGGGTGGAAGTACCCAGGGACAGAGGAATAAGTAGTGAGCTTAGAGTGGGGGCGAGGGCTTGTGGTGAGGAGGCATGCGGTGTGGACTGACGCCATCCCCTACTTGCTGTGTGACTTCTGAACAAATCAACAACCTCTCTGTGGCCTAGACAGAGCACCTGTTCCATGGCGAGCGGGGCAGAAAGCCAAGCTTCTTTCCAGTCTGCACCAACAGTAAAGCGACCCTACAGGTAGGGATTCCCATGGGGACACATCACCTGGTTCACTGAGACGAGCCACATGGACTTCAGAACGCCATGCTGGTGACACCCGAGGGGGGCATTCGGGGTTCACCAGGGGGTGTGGCCACAGGATCACCGGGAAAGCAGGACTCGCCCTCCTCTTCCTCTTCCCAGACTTCAGGAGACCTGGATGGGGGGAGATGGTCAGAATGCTATGTCCACTGACGCTGCAGCCAATATGAAGTCTCGGGGCACCCAGCAGCAAATGATTCTGGTGTTCCATATTTCTGCTAGCCTCTCACGGGCCCATCCCCAGACCCCCGATAACAGTGACAGTCTGAGCATTTTGGTCCTGTTCTTTAATTTCGAGTTCTGATAGGGGGACACAGTGGCATGTGTCTTCCCACTGTGGCCAGAACAAAAGTCAAACTGTCTGTGGTCTGTGGGTTGGGCTAGAGCAAGCCGCCAGCTTCCCTCTGGCCACACAGGCCTTTCTGTTCTTCACACATGCCACTTTGTCCCCAACCCAGAGCTCTTGGTCTTTCTGGTCCCCCTCCCTAGAACGCTGTTCCTTGAGGCCAGCCAGTGTCACCACTTCCCAGAGCTCGTCTCCCTTCACTCCCTGACCCCTTGTGGTATCCGCCTAGAAGCACTTCTCATTTATTTGATGTTTGCTTATTTATGATCTGTCTCCCATGAAAAATGCAAATTCCGCCCTCTTGCTCAGCATCCAGAGTCTTGCCTGGTACAAAGACACCCTCATCCTGTATTAATTCAATGAATGAGCCTATGGGTCTCTGAGATACCTTTGTCCAGATACCCTGTTATCTCCTTCCCTTTGCCCTAGAGAAGAAATAAAGGCAAAGACTTTCCATAAACCTGCTTAGCCTCCCCAAACTTTGTGTGTGTGTGTGTGTGTGTGTGTGTGTGTGTGTGTGTGTAAGTACCAAACGAAGCACTCTTAGTTCAGGGTGCTATAACTGGTCCTTAAATGACTTCCAGATTCTAACCAGACTTCTTCAGGGAGCAGCATTTGTCACCAAGGCCACCAAGATTAGAGAAACAAAAGCATGCTTCTTTCGATAACCAGCTAAGAAATAGCTTTTTAGCATCTTCGCACGTTAGAAAGGCTCATTACATGAATATTTTTCAAGAACTTGTCATAATAGCCCCCTCCAAATGATAACCCCTCCATCACTGACAGATCCTCAGGGAATATTAGATACAGCATCCCAAAGTTACCACCCTCAAATTCGACACAGCCTGGGGCTGGAGAGATAGCACAGCGAGAAGGGCGTTTGCCTTGCACGCGGCCGACCCAGGTTCGATTCCCAGCATCCCATATGGTCCCCTGAGCACCGCCAGGAGTAACTCCTGAGTGCAGAGCCAGGAGTAACCCCTGTGCATCGCCAGGTGTGACCCAAAAAGCAAAAAAAAAAAAATTCGACACAGCCTGTTGGAAGCAGGCCCTACGCACTTATTCCGATGCAGAATTCTGAAATGCATTTTTGCACGTGAGATGAATCAGAATGACTGTAGGCAATGCCTTCAACCTTCTGTTCCGTTCATTGCACAACTGTATCAAAGCTCAGCCCGCGACTTTTCGACGCAGGCGGTGTTTTAAGTTGCACCCCGAGCCCGTTACATGACTGCACGGTAAACGCCAGCAGAGGCGCATCTTCAGCCTTATCTGCCCTGAAAGCCGGCAGGTGCACTCGTGCATCGCTGAGGGCACTTTTCACTCCGCTGCGCTGAACCCGGCAAGGAGGGCTCAGCGCAAAGCACCTGAAAGGTTGCGAGGGCAGGAGACGACACCGGCTACCGAGGTGATAAAACAGAAACCGCTTTGTCTTTTTATTACCTGCCCAGACAATTCAGCAATCACAGCGGCATCACTCGCGTCCTTCCCAGCCAATCACAGGCGCGGCCCGGGGAGCACGTGACTTCCGAGTGCTTCCGGCCTCGGCTCAGGCGCTCTTTAGACGCGGGTGCCAGGCGGCGCTAGGACCCGGGGCGAGGCAACGCGAGCGGGTCCCACGCGATCGCCCGCCCCCTTCCCGAGCCTCTGCCAATAGGAAAGCGGCCGCGCTGCAGCGACCAATAGCGCGGAGGCTGGGCGAGGCCGCCTGGGGACGCGGGCGCGGGGGCGGGGCGGCGCGGGGTCACGTGGGGGCGGCGCGCGCAGCCTGCCGGGAGCGGGCTGAGCCGGGGGGCCGCGGCCGGCGTCCGGCGCGCAGCATGCGGCTGCGGCCAGCGTAGTGGCCATGCCGCCCGGGCCCCGGGCCTGTCCCGCTCCGCGCCGGCATGGTGAACCTGGCGGCCGTGGTGTGGCGCCGGCTCCTGCGGAAGCGGTGGGTGCTCGCTCTGGTCTTCGGCCTCTCGCTCATCTACTTCCTCACCAGCACCTTCAAGCAGGTGAGTGGCCGCCGGTCACCTCGCTCCCCTGGACACTCGCGGGGTGGGGGGGAGTTCCCTGCAGGCTGGGTTGGGGCGGGGGAGTTCCCTGCAGGCTGCAGCCGCGCTGCCTGGGTGTCCGCCCGGGCCCGTGCACCTGCCCTGGGTCCGCCCCCCGCCCCCCCCCCACCCCGGGGCTGCAGAGTCCCGGGCCCTGGCTATTCCCCCATGGTGTCCACCTGTCGGGTCCTGTGCTCAGAAGAGGACATGCATGTATGTATGCATGTCTGGTGCCGTGCCGGGCGCAGCCTCCCCGCGTCCCCATGTCCCAGCAGGAGGGGTTCTCTCCCGTGCACAGCTAAGCTGGGCTGGGGTCTGCGTCTCGCCCTCCCCTTCTGTCTTTCTGGGCCGCCGTGGGAATCGCTGGGTGCTCTGGTGGGTACCGGCTCCTCCCCCGGCGCTGCCCAGTCGGTTTCCAAGCCCAGCCCGAGCGTCTGCAGGACACGCCTCCCTCTGGTTGCCTCTGCGGTCTCTGTTCCCTTCTCCCTCGCCAGGGCCAAGGTGGTCAAGAGTGTGGGTCCAGGGACGGGGAAACGGAAGGTGTCTTCTTCCTGCATGTGTAGCCCATAAGGAGGGGCGGATGAAAGGGGGCCCCGAGGAAACATTCCCCACTTCCCACCTTCAGCACTCCCGCTAGGACATCTCCCAAGGTCACGTTATTACCCCTTGTCTGGTGGGCCTGGGACTATCTCCTGCAGAGACCTGGGTCCCCCAGTTGCAGGCTGGTGATCGCTGGCACCAATGAGTAATTCCTGCCGTGTGCACTCTTGCACAGCAGTGTGTGACCCCACTGCTGACCTGTTTGCAAGTCTCGTGTCTGCGAGCCTGCCTTTTGCAAGTGTCAGAGCCTTCCAGGACCTGGCGGGCATGGGGCTGTTGATGCGTCCCCGCCAACACCCACAATCCCCAGTCACCCTGGCTAAGTGGCATCCTCTTCCTCCAGGAGCTGTGTCCCGCCCTCCTTCCCGCCTCCCCCTGCTCTGTACCTAGCAGGACCACCCAGCGCCGCTTCCTGCTGCCTTAGGCTGCTCCTGTGTCCGCCACAGCCTCCTTTTCCCTTCCGGGTTTGTGGGCTCTGGACTTGCCCTGGACACAGGGGCCCGCGGTGCCGGCCCTTTGTGTCCCGTTTGTCTCAGTGGGAACCTACCTTGGAGCAGAGCTGCAATATAGTTCATTTTGTTCCTCTGTTCATTCGGCTGGTGATGGGCATTTGGGCTGTGTCCACCTTGAGGGTCTTCAGGACGAAGCGTGCTGGACCTCTCAGGCCAGCAGCCCCCTCCCGCTGGCCCTGGGGTCTCAGTTGACGTTGACTATGTTTAACTTGTCCAGCTATTAGGTGCTTCCAGAGTTGCCACCCTGTTTACAGGGAACTTTTAAGGAACCACCCTTGCCGAGTATTGATGGAGTATCAGAGAAGACTTCCTCTAGTTACCTGGGACCCCCCCTCACTCCCCGCAAAACTCACCGCCGTCCGGCTCTGTCTGGGTGAGGTCGGTTTCCACGAGCCCACCCGCATTACCGACCCGGCTTAGAGTTCGAGCTGAAATGCTGGGTTGCGGGGAGAATGTCAGGGTGGACCTTCCTTGAAGTCAGGGGTACCAGGATCTGTGTAGCTCTGTAGCACTGTCCTCCCGTTGTTCATCGATTGGCTCCGGCGGGCACCAGTAATGTCTCCATTGTGAGACTTGTTACTGTTTTTGGCATATCAAATATGCCACGGGGAACTTGCTAGGCTCTGCCTTGTCGGCGGGATACTCTTGGTAGCTTGCCAGGCTCTTGGAGAAGGACGGAGGAATCGAACCCGGGTCAGCTGTGTGCAAGGCAAATGCCCTACCCGCTGTGCTATCGCTCCAGCCCCCAGGATCTGTGTAAGGGCGAAAACATTGCTGCACCTCACTGGGTTTAAGGAGCCAAACAAAATGTTTTTCCCTAAAACTGCTCACGGGTGTCATTTAGATTCTTGTTACTTTAGAATCAGTCATGTCAGCCTGTCAAGTGTCAGCTGTAATTTTTGATACTGCACAGACCAGTCACCAGGCCCTCACCAACCCACATCTCAGAACATGGGGAGTCTTTAAGGGCTGAAGGGGTCCTGGCCCAGGACTGGGGTGCGGTCTCTTTCCTGCCTGCTGTCCCCCCTCCACCCTGGGCTTCCTCCCCTGGGCTGGCCGGCCCGCCCAGTGAGCGTCTCACGCTCTTCCTCTGCCAGGTGGTGATGACTTGGCCAAGAAGGGGCAAGGGTGGGTGATGGTCGGGGTTCATGGAGATGCGACTGTGGAAACCCCCCTCTGAACTCCTGGGCCCCAAACTCTGCATGGAGCTGACAGCTGCCTTTACTCGGGGGAGAGCCGGTCACCTCGGCTGCCCTGAGTCCTCTGTCCTGGTGGTCGTGATGCTTTGGGGGATGGTAGAAATGGAAGCGACGGAGCCCTGGAGGGCGGGGTGCTGGGGCTGGGGTGCCCATGGAGGGGACGGGCAGGCATGGTAAGCTATGCCAGGTGGCATGGACCCGGACCAGCAGGGGTGCACGAGCACTGGCCATGCCTGGCCAGTCCGCTGCCATCTCCCTGCCCTCAGCCTCTCATACCTGCCCCCCGGCCAGGCGTTGGAACCAGGGTGGCAGACCGGTGGTTTTCCTTTCTTTTCTTTTTTTTTTTGCTTTTTGGGTCACACCCGGCTGATGCTCAGGGGTTACTCCTGGCTCTGTGCTCAGGAATTACTCCTGGCGGTGCTCGGGGTTTGTTGCGTGTAAGGCAAACACCTTACCCGCTGTGCTGTTGCTCCAGCCCCAGACCGGTGGTTTTCAACCTTCCTGCCCTTTGGCCCGGAGGTGGTAGGCCGCTGTGCCTGATGGAGCTGGGGCCAGGTGAAGGGGTGATGGGTGGAGGGTTCAGAGCCAAGAGAGCTGGCGGCGTTTCTGAGGCCTGCTGGCCTGGGCTGCCCGGGGCTCCTGCTTTAACTGTGGATGCCTGCACGGCCCACTGGCAACTCCGATCCGGAAGTGTTTGAGTTAACACAGACTCACGTTAAAGTCTTCAGGCAAATGGCCCACGGCGGTGGGGAGTCTCAGGCCGTTCATCCCGAGTTGCCGGTGCTTTACTTTGGTTTTCTGATGGCCCCGGTTCTTGTTCCTTTTGGGGAAAGCTGTCCAGTCCTACCTTTGTATCCTGACACAGTGTGGGAATGGATGTATGAGCCCTGAAGGAAATAAATACATGCCCAGGCTGGAGTCATAGTCCAGCGGGGAGGGCGTTTGTCTTGTATGCGGCCGATCAGGTTCCATTCCCGGCACCCTGTAGGTTCCCCTGAGCCTGCCCGGAGTGATCCCTGAGCACAGAGCCAGGAGTAACCCCTGAGCATCGCTGGATGTGGCCCCAAACCCAAACCAAAAAAGGAAAACCAAAAAAAAAAAAAAGTGTGTCCGCATAAGTAAGAGCTGACCGTGGAGACCAGCCGGGTGTCGCAGCAGAGTCTGGGCGCGGGTTGGAGGCCCTCTGGCTCCTGGGAAGGAGCCGCCTCACGCCCCTTGGCTGGTCCTGCTGCTCCATTGTCACGCTTGCTGCCGCGTCGCACCCGCGGCCGCCTTATGAGCCTCTGCGCTTGTGTATCTCGTCAGCATCCTTTTGGCAAGGTCACGGCTGCTCATGTCTAGACGCAGGTGCAGGTGTGGCCTTCCTGCTCAGGAGGGAGTTCTGTGGAGGAGGCACTTGTCCGAGAACTTGCTTCCCATCAGGAAGAACGGCCAAATCGTTGGCGGCGGTTGGCTCTGTCACGAGCTTGGGTTGGCTGAGTGTCAGTCGGCAGGGGAGCCCCCGCCTCCCAGGCCTCCCTGTGGTGACGAGACCAGCCGTCCTGCAGCCTTGGGTCACACCCGGTGATGCACAGTCGTTGCTCCTGGCTCTGCACTCAGGAATTACTCCTGGTGGTGCTTGGGGGACCCTGTGGGATGCTGGGATTGAACCCAGGTTGGCTGTGTGCAAGGGAAATGTCCTCCCTGCTGCCCTATCATTCCTGCCCCCAAATCCTGCAGCCTTGACTGGTCCTACAGAGCCCAGGAGCAGGGTTGCCCGTGTGTCTAGACTCCAGCTTCTTCCTGAGAAATTCAATGTCTTTTCCCCCTGTTGCTGGAACATCTCTCTCTCTCTCTCTCTCTCTCTCTCTCTCTCTCTCTCTCTCTCTCTTCCTTTCTTTGGAAGAAATTGGGCTGAGCAGAAATGCATCCCCCGACCCCATCCCCCCAAGGACAGCTGTGCCCTCACTGACTTCAAGGATGTTGTGCAGGGTCAAGGCGAGGATGCTGCCTTCAGGTGGGTGAGACCACTGGAGATGTCTGGACATTTGGGCCAAGAGCAGCCCGGCTATGCTGCCAATTGCAGCCACTGCCACGGACTGTTCAGGGCAGCGGAGAACCCCGTCAGCCAGATCTCACTGGTGGTTCTGGAGAGGAGGAGGCACGTCTCCCACCGGCAGGGAGGGGGGCGCGTCCCAGAATCCTGAGATCACAGACGTCTAGATAACATAGGCCATGACTGTGTTCCAGCCAGGAAGCGCCAGATGCAGGCAGAGCATCTTAGTCTGTTCTTACCTGTGTCAGGCCCAACGCAACACGGCAGAAGTCAGGATCAAGATGGGATCATGGGCTGTTTTTTGGTCCTTTCTGTGTGTTTGGGTTTTTTGTGTTGGTTTGGGGCCACCTCCATTGATGCTCAGGGGTGACTCCTGGCTCTGCACCCAGGAATCACTCTTGGTGGGGCCAGGCAGGGACCTGTAAGGGATGCCGGGGATCTGACCCGGGTCGGTTGCGTGCCAGGCAGGCGCCTTCCTCACTGTACTGTGACTCTGGTGTTTTAATTTTTTTATTTTGATTTTTTGTTTTCTTTCAAGCTTCTAAGTTTTGGAGTGATTGCAGGTGTGCCGGAAAGCTGCAAGGATGGTAGACTCCACCTTATTCCTGTCCACACGCTGTCCTAGTGTCCTCTTAGTGATCCTTGTGTTCGTGTTCATTTTAAATCTTAAATCGCCTGAAACCTCAAAAAAAAAAAAGGATTCATCACGGTGTTAATGGGGTGTTAATGGCGTTAAAACCGCTTGGGTCCCTCCCAGGTTTCAGACTGTAGGATGTCTCTTCCTACCATTGTCTTAGCTCTTTCAAACCTGTATCATAATTATTATCATCAGATAATGAGTCATAATATATGCACACTTTTCTGGGACTTGCTTTTCTTCACTTAATGATACGCCCGTATGGAAGTCTGCAGCCCTGCCTGTGTGTGAAAACCATCCAGGGCGTGTGAGAGGCGGGGGCTCAGGGGTGCTTCTCCACCTCAATCTGGGCTGGGTGCAGGACTCGGGTGGGGTGGGCTCAGGTTCCACATGGACCAGTGGCCTCACCTGGGCCTCTGCAGCTTGGTCACTGCCATGGGCCGTGACTCTGCCGTTTCCTATCTCTGCTCCAGAAATGTGCCGGGCCCCCTTCTAGGCTGGTGCCTCCTTTCGGAGTCGTGTTTGCTGGGTCAGCACAGATGTGTGTGTGCCTGTTTCAGGTGCCACTGGCTGTTCAGAGGTGGCTCCTGAAGAGGTGGGTCCCTCTGTCCGTTTATTTATTTCATTTTCGGTTTGATTAAAATTATTAAAATGGGTTCAATTCCTTCATCCTTCTTGGAGAGCCCGGCAAGCTACCAGAGTAAGCCAGAGCCTGGCAAGCTTCCCGTGGCGTATTCGATATGCCAAACACAGTAACAACAAGTCTCACAATGGAGATGTTACTGGCGCCCGCCCGAGCAGATCGATGAGCAACAGGAGGACAGTGCTACAGACAGGTTTGGGGACCACACCTGGAGATACCCAGGGCTTCCTCCTGGCTCTGCACTCAGGAATCACTCCTGGCGGTGCTCGGGGGACCCAAGGGGATGCCGGGGGTTGAACCCAGCTCGGCCTTGTGTCAGGCAGACCCCCTCCTCGCTGTGTGGTCGCTCAGGCCTGAGAGTTCATCTAGTTTCTAAAGCGTCTCACCTCGGCCAGCAACAGGGACCTAGCACGGACGCCAGGCACGGAGGAAGCAGAAAGGGAGAAAGTCTGCGGGCACCTGTGAGAAGCCTGCTTGGGGGGTTGTGTGCCCCCAGACGTGGGGGTGGGGGAGCTCGAGGATGACCCCTCGGCCCCTGCTGTCCCCTGGCCCTTAGGGCCACTCTTGGCGCCCCGGGCCTGGGTAAAGGGCCAGGTGGCAAGTCACACTTCGAAGCTGTTGTGTTTCTCCTTGCCCCTCACCCCAACCCCTCCACCCCCAAACCCGGCTATGGGCCACAGTTCCCAGTGGCCCCTGCTGACAGTTGCTGCTGGGGTCAGAGGGAGCCTCCTGCCTCCCACCCCTCACTGTCCGCCTCATGGGTCATCCTGTCCCCTTGAGTGGCTCTCAGCCCTGCTCGTTGCAGGAATTTGGTGTCAGTTCTGCCATGTATTTGTTTCCACATAGATTTTTTTTGAAGGATCGACCCTAGGGGAGTTCAGGGCCCCCCCATTCCCCCCCTTCATTTCTCCCATGAACCCTTGGGTACGTGTCCCGCTGACCCTCCGGGGGCCCCATGTGGCTCCGGCTCTTGCCAGCGACATCGAGGTCCCCGTGGGGGGGGGGCTGTCCCCCGGTGCTGCCGATTGCTGCGGTTCCCGTGGGGAGCACCTGGAAGGGTCCTGACACCCCGCGCCTCTCTCCGCAGGAGGAAAGGGCCGTGCGAGACCGGAACCTGCTGCAGGTCCACGAGCAGGAGCAGCCCATCGCATGGAAGGTGCAGTTCAACCTGGGCAACAGCAGCCGCACCAGCGACCAGTGCCGCAACTCCGTCCAGGGCAAGCTCCTCATCACCGACGAGCTGGGTGAGCCGGGCCCGCCCTCCGCCCGCGCTGGCCCCGCCCACCCTCTGCCCGCGCCGGCCCCGCCCACCGCTTTCCATGCTGGCCCCGCCCACCCTCTGCCCGCGCCGGCCCCGCCCACCCTTTCCATGCTGGCCCCGCCCACTGTCTGCCTGCACTGGCCCCGCCCACCCCCTGTCCCTACCGGGCCCCGCCCATGCTCTCCCTCAGGCCTGCCCACCCTCTCCCTGTACCTGCCCCTGCAAAGGGGAGGTATGGGGGGCGGTGAGCCGGCCACAGGGCTAGAACTGCAGGGATGCCCTGCAGGGCCTGCCCTCACGCCGTGGTCACCAGCCCCCCGACCTTGCTCTGTCCTCCTTTGCACCTCGTCCCTGGTTCGGCCTCGTGGGCGCAGTGGGGGGCCGTAACCCGGCTCCTGAGCGCCCAAGGGTGTTTGACCCATGCGGGTCCAGGGGTAGAGTCGTGAGCAGATACGCGGGACCATCTGCCTTTGCCTGCTGCGTGTTGGTCTGTACGGCCCCGTGACGGGGCTGGGTGAGAGTCTGGTAGAGCCCCAGAAACACCCTGAGAATCAGTCCCCCTTGGGGTTTTTTTGTGAATGGGGGGATTTGGGTCACACCCGGCTGGCACTGCTCAGGGGCCCCACCTAGCGAGGCTTGGGGGGCCTGGTTGGGGGCCGTGGATCAAGCCCCACGTGCCAGGCAGAGGCACTGCTCACTGCACTCTCTGTCCGGCCCCCAGTGGCGCGAGAGCAGCCGGAAGCCCTGTGTCCCCCAGAACGGGAGGCTTCAGCTGTCCCTGCTGTTGCGTGAGTGCCGGTGGTTTCTGCTTCTGCTCAGACTGGGAAAAAACCGCCATTGGGTGCCTTCCCTGAGGACGGGGGAGCGGGAGCATTCGGGATGGAATGTTCTGGAGCAGCTGCCGCACACCTGCGGCCACCTGTGCACCGGGTGCTTCCCCTGGGCCTCGTGAAGGCCTCCTCACGCTTCTCTGGCCTCCCTGGAGGCAGGGAGGGTCTGTGCGCCTGAGGAGAATTGTTTTGCCCTTGGCCAGGGCCCACGCGGGCCTGATCCGAGATCTTGGAACCAGGGCCGATGGTTGGAGGGGACGGGTAGAGACGGTGGGAAAGGAGGGGGCTTTGCAGGAACCCAGCTTCCTGGAGCTGGTCCCTGGGCCCCGTCAGCGCCCCCAATTCTCCCAGGAATGTTTTCTGAGATTCCTTGGGAAAGGAACGGAACTCCCCGTTTTCTTCCAGGGGAGAGGGACATGGTGGGGCCCTGGGGGCTGTGTCCACATGGGATGGTGGCCTGGGCTGCTCTGTAGGGGCCCCCGCCCCCAGCCTGCCCTTCCTGAGGGTGTCCACACAGGGGGAGGGCGGCCGCAGGGGTCCCAGCCAGCCCTCCGCCCTGCAGGGTACGTCTGCGAGAGGAGGAACGTGCTGGCCAACGGCTGCTGTGACGTCCGTGCGCCGACCACCAGGCAGCACAGCTGCGACGGCTGCTCGCCCAGCGGCTGCTGCGGTGCCTACGAGCTCTGCGTGTCCTGCTGCCTGCAGCCCAGCAAGGTGGGGCTCACGGCTGGTGGGCCGTGGCTGCAGGGCGGACCCTGGGTGAGGGCCAGGTGCCCCAGCCGCCCCCCGCCCGGCCTGCACGGTGACCAGCCTGGGCCTGTTCCCCCAGCAACTCCTCCTGCAGCGCTTCCTCAGCCGGGCGGCCGTGGCCTTCCAGAACCTCTTCATGGCCGTCGAGGACCACTTTGAGCTGTGCTTGGCGAAGTGCCGGACCTCATCCCAGGTCAGGGGGCCAGGTCGTGGGCCGGGGCAGGACGGCTGAGCACCACGGAGAAGGGCCTGGGGTTCGCGTGGGCCATGGCAGCTTGGTCTGCAGGGCTGGGGGCGGCAGGGATGTTCTCGTCTGAGAAAAATCACTTGTCCTGAGTTTCCCTGCGAGTTTTTTTTTTTTGTCCTGAGTTTCCCAGCGAGTTTTTCGTCCTGAGTTTCCCAGCGAGGCCCCGAGGGGCCCTCAGCCCTGCACCGGGACAGACACGGCAGTGGCCACTCACGCCCTTCTCCCCCGGCCCACAGAGCGTGCAGCACGAGAACACCTACCGGGACCCCGTGGCCAAGTACTGCTACGGGGAGAGCCCGCCAGAACTGTTTCCCGCGTGAGGGGCCCCGGCCCACCCGCCCGCCCACTCGGAAAGAACAGCACGAGCCTGGTGGGCACCAGGGGCTGCTGGCAGGTTGGGATCCCCCCCAACCTCCCAGACGTGGGTGACTCACGCTTCGCCCGGGGACCTTCTCTATCACTTTATTTATTGGATTCCTCTGACTGGTGGGGGAAGAGCGCGTTTTGAATGGAAAGACGCCTTGGTCGTCGGACATATTCCGGAAGATTGACTTGGCCGAGTTACGATCCTTCCTTCTCCTCGGATTAAATGTTGGGTCCCAGGAGGTCTGCTCAAACGGTTTCTGCCCCCAAGATATTTTTACCTGATCCTGGTATACAAATCAAATATGTACTGACAATAAATCACTTACATCCATCTAAGGAATTTGGGTTTTGTTGGGTTGTCGGGGTTGGGGGGGCAAGGGAGTGGTGGGTTGGGCCACACCCAGTGCTCAGGGGTCACCCCCGGGGAGGCTTGGGTGACCCTCCCTGCCAGCCGTGCTGGTGACCAGACGGGGCCGGTTGCAGGGACAGTGGCCACCTCCTGCTCCCTGGCTCCCCCTTCCATGTCCCTGTCCCAGCCTGGGTCCCTTTGGATGTGGCTTGTGGCAGGCTGGCGGCAGGTATGACCTCTCCCGAGGACACAGCCCTGCACGGCCACGGCCTCCCCGTCTCCCATGGGTGTGAGTGGTGCGAGCCCCGCTGGGCTCTGGCCGCTCTCCTGGACCGAATCTGCAGCGCGGGCGGTGGCCGTGCAGAGTCACCCCTGAGACCTCACCACAGAATCCAAACAAACACTTCCTCTCTGGGCCTGGGCTCCGTCCTTCCTGCGGCCTCGCACCAGAACGGCCCCCAGCTGACTCCCCCGGGTCACCTCCCTGGAGGGGACTGCGTTTCAGCTGTCCCGGCCAGAGCAGCGAGAGGCCACACAGACCACAGCCAGCCTGGCCGCCCCAGGCCACCTTCACTTGGCCACGGGTGTGTTTTCTGTCCTTGCGCCCACCACGGCTGTGTCACAGTTCTGGAAATCCACACCGCACCCTCAGCGTGACCCCCAGCGCCTTCTCTCGGGACCCCTCAGCCTTCCCTCTCAGGGTCCCTTCCCTCACGGGGTCTCTGTCTCTGTAGGTTGGTGTGTGTGTGTGGTGGGGGTTCTCTAGAATTAGGGACCCCCATATCCTGAGCCTAATGTGTGATACCATTGGGGACATTCTAGGAGATGATTGGAGAAGGAGTGAAAGAAACACCTTTAGGGGGAAAAATAGACATTAAACGTGTTTTGGGCTGGAGCAATAGCACGGCGGGGAGGGTGTTTGCCGTGCACATGGCCGACCCAGGATCGATCCCTGGCATCCCATAAGGTCCCCCCCCCACCCCCAAGCACTAACAGGAGTGATTCCTGAGTGTAGAACCAAGAGGAACCCCTGAGCACACTTGTTGGGTGTGACCAAAAAAGCAAAACAAACAAACATTGCGTTTTGAGTCCAGTAATTCGCAGCGTCTTCCCCAAACTCAGAGGGAAGTTGCTGTGCTCTGGCTGAGCAGGGGTGAAGAGAGACGATGAGAGGGAGAGATGCCTGCTGGGACCCCCAGCTCCCGGGAAAGCCGGTTTGCGTCTGGGAGTGAGAAGGACGCAGGGTGTGAGAAGGACGCTCCCACCAAACAAAAGACTCCTCGCACTGCACATGGACCGCCAGCTCCGGGGAAAGCAGATTTGCCGGCTCACCCCAGCTGAGTCTTGGGGGCGGGCGGGGGAGGGGGGAGCTCAGGTCATATTCCACCCCTCCCCTCCCTGCTCACACGGTTCCCCGGGGGACACCGCTGCACCACGCCTGCCCTCCGCGAGGCTCAAACAGCTGGGCGGCACCTGGGTTGCAGGTAAGCCAGAGACTTAGGAGGGGTGGGATGGTGACAGGTCCAGCCCTCACACTTCGTCCAGTGGCCCTCGGTCACCTCGAGGCCTGCGGGGCGCCCCAGCCCGAGGGCACCATCAGCTGCTTTGCTGCTGTTTCCTTTGTGCCCAGCTCTGCCTGTTTCCGGGCTGGAGCCTGTCCTTCAGGGGCTCCCGGAGTGGGGTGGGAGCACCTCGGCCTTGGGGCCCCACACCCGCCTTCCAGCTCTGCCAGAAGGTTTCCTCTTCGAGGCCACAGAGCGCCGCCTGGGTTTGGCAGTTCACTGCCCCGGTGGGATGGCACAGCGGGCTCTCGCCTTGGCCACGTCTTTCCTCCCTTCGTAATATTTTGGTGGTTCGGGGGTCACACCCGGCGGTGCTCAGGGCTTAACTTCCTGGCCCCGTTGCTCCTGGAGGAGCTTCGGGGGGGCTTTGGGGGACCCACGTGTGGTGCCAGGAATCAAACCCAGGCTGGCCGTGTGTGTGCAAGGCAAGTGCCCTCCCCACTGTCCGATGGCTCCAGCCCCTTCTTAAATGAAGGAAAGCCAAACCAGCCCTTGCCACCCCGTATTCCTCAGAAGCCTGAACTCAGCCCAGCACCCCGACTTCTCACCTTCATCTAAGGCAGCAGGTGGGGCAAGGTGGGAGTTTCTTGGCCACAACTGGGGGAGGGGGCATGTTCCTACAAGGTGCCCCTCGGGGTCCAGCCCCACGTCCTGTGGTATAGACACCTCCCACGGCCCAGAATGACCCCCAGCTCCCTGGCCCAGACGGCAGCAGGGCTGGGCGGGCAGGGGGTAGCTCGGGTCATATCCACCCTCCCCTTCCCGCTCGCAGGAGATGCTGATTTGATTACATTCCCGCCCTTGCTGCCTGCCTTGCTCCAGCCCCGCTGATTAAATTACCCCCAAAGCCCTGGGGAGCGAGAGCTGTTTCCTCGCAGCTTCTTACCAGCTGGCCGGTCCCTCCCAGATGCTGCTCAGCCCTGCACCCTACCCTACCCTACCCTACCCTACCCAGGGTCCCGTGGCCGCTCGCATGGAGGGCCCGGGGAGCAGGGGGCCTCTGGGGCCCCTGGGGACGTCGTGCTACTTGGAGAGGGGAAGGAAGAGCCGCAGGTCCTGAGGATCCCGGACCCCTTCACAGGGCACCAGCTCAGTTTGGGGCCCCAGGGACCCTTTTCGCTGTGGCCTGCTGAGGGTGGGATAAAGTGGTCCCCACGCTGCGTCTGCCTTGAACCTGCGGCCTCCAGCCGGAATGGGAAGCGGAGGTCCCGTGGCCCCTGTGCATTCCAGACTTCCTGTGGCGGTGCGTTCCATGAGCCCGGGGCTGGGCGTCCCTGCTGGAGATGTGTGGGCCCCTCACGGGCTCTTCCTGTGCTTGGGGGCCTCCCGGGCCCTGGGTCTTGGCCTCCTTAATCAGTTCATGTCTGGTGTGAAGTTTCGGGCCACAGAGGACCAGGCTTGTCGAGACTCAAAGTGGCCCTCGGTGAACTTCGAGAGCGAGGGGTGCTGAGAGCCAGGGTCCAGGAATGTGGACTCGTAAATAACCCTCACACACCCCTTTCCCGAGGACACTGCTGTGACAGCCGTGTAGATGGTGTGTGTTGTGTGTGTGACAGCCGTGGACACGGTGCAGGCCTGACCACCACCTACGTGGCATGTGCGTGTGGGAGCCGTGTACGCTTGCTGGACTGGGAGGGGCGTCCAGGACCGTCCCTGAGTAAATGACGCCACCTGGCTTTGTGTCCTCATCCTCATCTGCCGGGTGAGGGTGGCTGTGAAGGGGACAGCTGCTCCCCGCCTCTGAGCTCCGGGGAGAACCCGAGCGTCCAGGTCTTGCTGTGAAGTTCGCCTGGAGTTTGTTCACGAACCTGGATTTCACAGAATTGCAGACATCGAGGTAGGATTCTGCGACATGGATCACTAAGAAGCGAATAGCACCTCCCGGGAGACTGAACCCTGATGCTCGGCTGGCTCAAGGCCCTGATTCTGAAACGGAATCGGGCTGGGAGCTGTGGTTCTACACACAAGCCTGGTTCGGGGTCCATAGAGTGGACCCTGGGAAAGAAGCTCCCTCATCCCAAAGGTGCCGGCATCCTCCCGGGCCAGAGTGGACTCCGGGTGGGTGTCCCTTGATTGAGAATGAGAGAAAGGCGGGCGCCTAGGAGCTCACGAGGTGCGTTAAGCTCGGGAATAACTAGAGGCGGGAAGGACAGTCTCGGGCACTGGCCTTGCACACATCTGAGTCTGGTCTTATCCCCCATGCCCCCCGGCACCACATATGGTCCCTTGAGCTCTGCCAGGAATGGTCCCCAAACCCAAGCCCAAAGCAGGATGGTCTCGAGCCGGAGACAGCACAGCAGGGAGGGCGCTGACCTTGCACATGACGCCCGGGTTGGATTCCCGGATGTCCCGGATGGTTCCCCCGAGCCCCGAGCACAGGGCTGGAGGCTCTCCTCGCTCTGTCCCCGTGCCCTCTGAGGATGCCCACTGCCCGCTGATGCCACCACCGAGCCCCGAGCATCAGAGGGGCTCTGACTCTCGCTGCCGCCTTGCAGAGCCCCAGAGAGGGGGGTGGAGGGCAGCAGTTACGTTCTGGGCCACTTGGTGGCAGCACGTCCCTAGTTTTTTCCTTACTGGCGCCTCTCCTGGTATGTGATCAGTCTGTGTGATCAATCAGTTGATGGATCAATGGCGAGGCCCCCTCTGAGGCTGAGGGGTCGCCCCGTCACGCTGCTTATACCCTCGGGGAGGGGGCCTGGGGCGAGGCACGTGGGACCTGACGCATCTGAGTCACTTCCTACAGCCGCCTGTGAAGCCAAGCTGCCTTTCAGCCTTACCTTGCATTTTTGGTTTATTTGTTCGGTCCATTGTGGGGTCACACCTGGTGACGCTGGGGAGGTCAAGGGGGAGCGGCTGGAAGGGGCCCCGGGGCCTCGCACATGCAGACTCGAGCCCTGAGGAACCCACCAAAGAGATGGAAAGCTTTGCTAGAGGGGGCCCCCACCCGGCGGTACTCAGGTCTGACTCCTGACTCTGTGCTCAGGGAGCATTCTGGGGGCTTGGGGGACCCTGTGGGACGCCCTGGATCAGGCCCAGGAGAGCCACGTGACGTGGAGGGGCCCGTGACGGCAGCTGAGCTTGGCTCTGCCTTGGGGTGTGGGCCCCAAACATACCTAAATAAAAATAAACTAACGAAATAGAAATAGAGTGGGAACCAAAGCAGAACACGCGCGTGAGCTGAGTCCCTGTGGGTGAGCAGAGCGCGTGGCCCTTTCCAGGAGACCCACAGAAACTACTAGGCTCTGATGGAAAGGGGTAACAGGAAATACAAAATAACAGTATTAATAATACGGCTACAATTGAAGTTATACTACATAATAATGTTATAGATGACATAGAGTAACATGAAATAGTATGGCTATGATAGTATATAACAATGTTACAGATAATATATGATAACATAAAATAATATGACTACAA